AAGAGTTGAGGAGTGTTCCTCTTGCTCTACCTCCTCTCCAGCATTCATTGTTCACAGTGGTGTGGATCGCAATGCTTTAATAGATGTGTGTATTACGTTCCTTTGTAATTAGTTGAGAGAAAACATTTTGAGAATATTTGCATTTACTTATTTGAGGCACGTTTATAGTCTCAGATTAAATGTCTGCTTGGGTCTTTTGCTTGTCATTTGGTTAGTTTTTTGTTGATTATTACTGAATGTTAAGAATTATTTGTAGGCTATAGACATGGCTCAGCGGGGTTAAGAACACCTCCTGTTTTTCCAGGGGACTAGGGTTCCATTCCCAGCACTCACTTGCCAGAGTACAGATGACTTTAATGCTCGGTCCAGATGATTTGGTGCCCTCTTGTGGCTGCCATTGTCAACTGCAGGAATGAGGTGCAATCTATTCTCCCACACAAAACACTCATACACATTAAACACAATTTCTAAACAAAGAATTATTTGTAAAACTGTGATACTAGTCTTGCCTCTTATAAACGTCTTGAAAATATATTTTTCCTGTATTTGTTCCCTACCAGTTCATTGCTAGCACAGAAAATTTTCATTTTTAGAAGCCCAACTTACTATAAACCCTTTCTTCCTCTAAATTGCTTTGGTAAACTTGTTTTATCCCAGCAAAAGGAAGGAAATTAGAAACTGGAGGACCTGTATGTATGTATGTTACTATCAAAGTAGTACATGCATATGTCTTGAGAGCCATTAATCACTGAGATTGAATTCTTGCTAAAAAGAAATTCTGACTATCGTTAAATAGAAACAAATAACAGTTATTTTACACAGTTGCTCTCCTTTACTTTTTCATTTTATGACATTATGTGGAAAGGGTAAAAAGCTTGCTGTATTATAGTTATTGTTCCTGGAATACTTCTCTGTCTTTGGGATGTTTTAAATGAACAGATGTAGTTCCAGGTATATGAAATGCATATCACTTACTCAAAATTAAACTTAGCTTCACTCTCAAGACTCATATATACCAGGTAAACTGAGCTCACCTTGGTCTTCCCAATTTAGTAATGCCGTTTTATTTTGCTCTTGAAAACAGAAACCAGAAAGCAGCAATTTCCATTTTTTCTTGCTTATGTCCTCCTCCTCATTATTATTATCATATAATAGTAATTGCATTTTATTATTATTATTAACATTATTACTATTTTGCCACAGACTCATATTAGGTGGGGCACTGCTGGTGCTGTGCTCTTTCTCAGTTGATGGTCTACAGTTCAAGTTCCTTTTCCTTCTGCCTTTCTCATTGTTACAGTCAGAGTTCATATTAACTCATGAGAAATAAAGCTTACTTTTCAGCACAGTCTCATATTTGCAGATAAAATATGCTTACAGTTTCAATCTACTCTATGGACTGTTGATTTATAAGATTGTATTCTGGAGACCAAATGATGACAAACTTATTTTCATTGTACTTCTTTTTTTTTTCTACATTACTTGAAGCAGTGAAGTTGACCTTTATGTTGTGACTTTTATTAGAGAAAACGAAATAAGTAAGAAAAAAATAATATGGACATTTCTGTAAACGCCTTTTTGAAATCTCATTGTGCTTGCTTGCTTCGGTGATGGAAGGTAGAGTTAGCCTTAGACGCTGGCAGGGGACAGAGTGCTTCTGGGTGACAGATCAGTTCCATTTAGCCCAGGTCTGGTTCTTTTCCAGCATAACAGAAATCACCCTTTGCATTCTGGGATAGCCATAACCAATTGATGGGAATTGCCATTCTTTTAAGACTGGGAAATTGCCAAATTACTGGAGCCTCATATCAGCTTCCCTGATTGTCAGTTTTCAAAGCACAACATTCTAAATGTTCTCTGTCTATAACAACACACTTTGTGTCCTTGAAATAGCATTGTTTGTTTGTTTGTTTTTTGCTTTTCGAGACAGGGTTTCTCTTTGTAGCTTTGGTGCCTGGAACTCGCTCTGTAAACCAGACTAGCATTGAGCTCACAGAAATCCACCTGCTTCTGCCTCCTGAGTGCTGGGATTAAAGGCTTGAGCCACCACCATCCCGCTAAATAACATTTTTAAATTATCCACTTCCCGAGAAGAGATGGACCTGCAGTTGAAAACTAAATGGAAGGAGAATCAGAACGCTAAGCAATCTTGCAATGTGTAATGGAAATACCCATTGCATCACAAAAGAGTTCAGAAATAGATCAGTGAACATTTGGTATGGTATATTTGAAATTTTATTAGCAAATGGACTAATCAAACATCTACAGAATTATTTCACCCAAACACCAAGGAATACACATTTTACTCAACAACACATGAATTTTTTTAATGGACTTAATTCTGTGGAAAAAAAAGATATTTTAAAAAATTTTTAAAAAGAGAGAGATTCAGATGGTTCTTTGTATACTCTCTGATCACAATGCAATACAACTTAAAATTACAGCAAGCAAATCTCCACCAAATAAGTAAAGCCACAGAGATTAAACAGCTCATTACAGAATAAAGAATGAGTAAAGGGAAAAAATTCAAGAAAGAAAAAATTCCTGGAGCTGAATGAAATTTATGTAAAAAAAAGATACAACAAAATTTCTAGAACACATGAAACACAATTCTATGGAGAAAATGTGTAGCTTTAAATACCTGTAATAGAAGAATCAGAAATAGCACATATAAATGACATAACTCAAATTTTTGTGAAACCAAATCAAAACCCAGCTACCCACAAAAAATGATTTTAAAAAAATCAGAGCATCAATCAATGAAATAGGATTAAAGAAACCAATATTAAGAATCAAAGTATCTAAGAGCTGATTCTTGGAGAAGACAAATAAGACAGGTAAATCCTTGACCCAACTAACCAGAAGAAAGAAAGAACACAAATTAATGGAATTAGAAATAATTAGAAAATAATACAACCAACACCAAGTAAATTCAGAATATTCTAAGGAAGTAAACTAAAAATCTATGCTCTATTGAGTTGGAAAACCTAAAAGAAAATCAAAATTATGCCAAGAAGAATCCAACAGCCTAAACAGACCAGTAACAAATGAGGAAATTGAAATAATAGTAATAATTAATAGTCTTTCAGCCATGAAATATCAGGGCCATATGGATTCATAGCTGAATTTTACCAGATTTCCAATGATCTACAACAAATCCTTATTAAACTAATTTTTAAAACCAAGGCTCATGCAGATACAAAAACAGGTAAAGACACAAGAAAAAAAGTACAGGTCAATATTCCCGAATGAGTTAGGCTCATTGTTTCAATAAGTTTTTAATAAAGTACTCACATACAGAATACAGGCACATCAAAAAGATTATCAGTAATGACCAAGTTGAATGTATCCCTGAATTTCAGAGGTGATACAGCATACACAAGTCAGTAAATGTTAGAAATCACATAAATTGACTTAAATACAACAGTCACATGAACAACTCAACAGATGATGCCTTTGACAAAATCTGACATAACTCCATGATAAAAGTCCTAGGGTATGTAGCGCTTGAGGGACGATATCTCAATACAATAAAAACTATGTAACAGAAATCCTCAATAAGCATGACTGTAAATGGACAAATCTTGAAGAAATTCTACTAAAGTCAGGAATGAGGTAGAGTTGTCTATTGTCCATACTCCCTTTCAACATTTTACCTGAATTCCTTGCTTGAGCCATAGGATTAGAGAGAGAAAGAAATGACAGGGCTATAAACAGGGAACAAACAAATTAAACGAGCCCCTTAGTAGATGACATGACATACAGTACAGGTCTCAAAAGATCTATCGGAGCATTCATAGAAATGGTGAACAAATTCGACAATGTGGCTTGATACGGAATCAATAGCTTTGCTATATACCAATCACAAACATGCAGAGATCATGGACACACTCCCATTCACACTAGCCTGAAATAAAAAAAAAAAAAAAAACAATTATAGGAAAAAGGACCAAAGGACCTATACAAATGAAATCTTTTCACCTCTGAAGAAAATGATAGACACTTAAGAAATGCAAATATACTAATCATTGGTTGGTAGGATTAATGATTTTGAAATGACCACTCTACCAACAGGTGTTTATAAATTTAATGCAAGACCAATGAAAAACCTCATCTCATTCTTCATAGAAATAGCAGAAAATGTCTATAGCTCAATAAAAAAAGAACCACACCCAAGCCCTTGTCCTTGTTCTCCAGAACTCTTCCCATGTGAGCTCGCTCTGATAAAACTAAGGTATGGGAAAACATCTCTGAGCTGCTTGAGATAATGGGGCAGCCACAGTACTGTGAACTCTTTATGGTTTTACAATGTGGCCTTTAATGCTTTGTGTAAGGCTGGCTTGTCTTGAACTTCCATTCTTCTTGGCTCAGTCTCTCAAGTGCTTGTATTTGAGGTATGTATCCCCATGCCAAACAAAATCTCTCTCTCTCTCTCTCTTTCTCTCTCTCTCTCTCTCTCTCTCTCACACACACACACACACACACACACACACACACACACCATGAGCATGAGCAGGACAGAACTTGTTTCTGGATACCATCTTTTTATCATTGTTCATCTTATTTTGGGGGAGGGCAGAGAGTCTCTCATTGAGCGTGGAGCTCACTGGTTTGTTTGTTTTTCTAGACTGGCTTTCTAGAAATCCCATGGGTTCTCCCTGTCCCCACCCATAGTGCTGTGGTTACATATATAGCTGTAGATACCCCGAGAAGAAGTGGGTCTTGATGACCCCAACTCAGGCCCTCCGTTGGTACAGCAGAACTTCACCAGCAGAGCCATACCTCCATACCCTAAACCTTTATGTTCAAAAACCAATTTTACATTTTATGGCTGTTGCTATTTATAAGAAAAGAAATGAAATTTAAAACCCCTGTAATCTTACCTCATAATTACCCACAGGACATATTTGTCTGGAGTAAAAAGTTAAGAATCCTGAAGTTTGCAACATTTGTGTGACTAAAACGCACGCATACGAGTAACTCGCTCTGTTTGTTTACAGAAAGCCACATTCTGGAGGACGTCAACAAATGCATTATCGCCTTGAGGGACCAGGATGCCGATAACTTAGACCGAGCTGCTGGTGCCATCAGAGGACGAGCTGCAAGAGTAGCTCACATCGTCACAGGGGAAATGGACAGCTACGAACCAGGTGCTTACACCGAAGGCGTGATGAGAAATGTCCATGTCCTTACAAGCACGGGTGAGTCTCTGTCCCCTACATAGCTACATGGCTCCTCACGTGGGAATCTGTGTAGCAACCGGATACCCACCCACAGAAAGATGAACAGTCTCCGTCTGGGTCTCTTGATTCCACACATAAAACATCACTATACCATCTAATTGGTGCTTGGTGTCCTGTCGTTATGCGATTTGAAACTTACCCCAGTGGAAAAAAATTATATATTCATTGAGGAAAAAAAAATGTCTTTTTAAATACATGCATTACTCCCAGACCTTAGCCTCTTGTGAGTGTTTATTAATGTTAGAGATGTTTGGAGCTATAATTAGGCCAGCATGGGGTTAAAGCATGCAATAGTTTGTAGGCTTTCATTTGGCTATATTATTGGTACCCCTGGGTTTCTTATTATTTAACCATAGCGGGTTATTCCTATGTATCCAGAGACATGCTGGCTACCCTTACCTTGCAATTCTGTGAAAAATAGCTTTCTATTCTTGTCCAAATTCTTCTTTCATTGTTTAAGGAATGTATAATACATGACTGTGTTGGTTGCAGAACTCAAGTTACTGTTTTCTAAAATTGGGCAGAGAACACTTTGAGCAACTCAGTCTAATGATATTTTTCTTTCAAATACTATTGTTAGCATTGCTCCAAGAGACCCATGGAAATGTCAGTATCCACATAGATTCCTGAGCAAGGATGGCAGTCAAAAGTTTTATAAATCATTGTGGTAGAGCCCCTTCCTTTGAACCCCCTTTGTGTAAATATATGTGTGTATAATATGTATATATTCAATTGTCTCTTGACAATAGAGTGATGGTATTTCTGGGAATCCTGCAGATTCCATATTTAAATCATTCTTTCTTAAAAGATATGTAGGGCATCTTAACTTTGAAATGTTTTCATATTATTTGTGAAAAGAGAGGAATGGGCAAAACTTTAATTTTTTTCTTTTTCTTTTTATGTGTTTAGAAGTTTTGTTCATGTGTATGTGTGCCTCCCTGCCTCCTCTGCCCAAGGAAAAAACAGAAGAGGGCATTAGATCCCCTTTGCAGACAATGTAATGCTGAGAATTGAACCTAGGTCCTCTGCAAAAACAGCCAATGATCTTAACTGTTGAACCATCTCTCCATCCCTGATGGATAATCTTTAAAAAAAGAGAGAGAGAAACAATACAATAGCAACAATAGCAAAACATTTCTTTCATTTTAAATTTTGAGACTCTTTCTGGGGGTGATTTAAGGGAAATATATCAATCATTGATAACTTTCTCATTATCACTTTAAACATATTTCTAAAATAATGAAATGTTCTGAGGAAAGGCAGTAATGGCATGTATATAGCCCCTGTCATAAAACTGATACCTCCACCCCCACTCCTCAGAGATATTAGTGTAACAAATCGAACACATAGTCAGTTATGGTGGTACATTCTTGCAATCCCAGCTCTCAGACTAGGCAGGCATGGCTCCTGAGGCAGATTATTACCATGAACCCAAGGCCAGCCTGTGCTACTGTTTGAGATTCTGTTTCAAAACAAACGAAAAGAACTGAGAACATATTAGTCGTTCTTTCTAGTGTGTGGAAATATATGCACTTGCTTCGGAAGTCGGATGTGTTGTAGCCATTCAATATCACGTTCTATTCCAGGCTCATGTGATCTTTTATTGGTTCAGACCAATTACTTTGCTGTCTGTGTACATTTTAAGGGAATAAGTGTTTATTCTGAAGATGTTTGGAGTGACTATGACCCAGGGACACAGGTTTAGCCCACCCAAAATACCATGCTCCAATGTGGAAGCAGTTTCGTGAAGTTTTATAGCTTTTGTAGAACAAAGAATGTCATAAATCAAGGCAAGTTTCGAATACATTGGTGGGTTCATCAGAAAAAGGTAGTTGCAACAAGATGGGGTAAACTTTTCTATAAACACTATCTGATACTATCTGATAAAATTCTTAGCTTTGGAGATGGTGGAAACTGGAACCTACTGCATTAATGAGTTCTGTTTTCTACCTTCCAAAAATGACATTTTTAATTATAAGGGCAAATGTATGAAGCATTATCTCTTTATCCATGTGAAAATTTCCTGTGGGGTAGAGTAGCTAAAGTCAACCAGGGATGCTGAACCTTGCTTGTTTCTGTTTTATGACTGTATTAGGCGAGTCGCACCTGCAGACTTTGTGGCCATAACATCCATATGAGGTGCCAAGTCTGCAGTTTTGTACTCCATAGGCATAGAACACATCTGCCAGATCCACAGGGTGAAGTGGGAGTGAATTCCTATGGTGTTCAAAACTCTTGGCAGTCATTCTACATCAGAAGAAGTAGCAAAATTATTCAGACATTGAAATACTCTCTTGTTAATGCATCTCTGATTATTAATGACTGTACCAAATAGCCAACCAACAGGGCAAAAATTTCACAGTCAAAGGAGCTAACAAAACCCCCAAACCCTTTCCTCTATTTATTTGTAAGATAACGTTAATTAAAATATCCCTTTCAAATTATGTCTTACATTCCAAATGTCAGATGTATAGACTATTTCTAGGCTATTCTGTAAAAAGTGACTCTTATTATTAAATACACAATTTATGGTTCCTAATTAATCATTTTGCTCTCTTTCAGACAAGCTTTAGGTGCATCCTTGAAGTCTGCTTCTGTTTTCTACTTTGTAAAAATAAGACCCATTCAAACTTTTCTCCAAAGAGCTTTCCTTTAAATTTATCAAAAGCATGCCTCACAAAAGGGAATTCAGAGCAATGAATTAAATGAAATGCCTAATTAGATCAGTTTGATCTTAACCAAAGCTGAAGACTGTGTGCTTTCTTTTTCCCATGGAGAGATTGTCTATGTAAAATATTTCCAGCTCCTCTGTCCTCCACCATCGCCTGATGGGGAAATGTTCATCATTGTTCACTCGTGGGTCATATCTTGGGTTTATCTTTAAAACACTTATCAAATTACATAATTGGAAATGTCATGTTTTGTGTTGTGAAGATTCAGTTGCTCACATTTTAGCAAAAGAATATTAATGTGACCTGTTTTTTTTTTGTTTCAGTTTTCTTTTGATTAGTTCTCAGGGTTTATCCCGGCTTCTTCAAAATAACCTAATGGGGATCCCCTGTGAACTATTTTTCATTCCTGAGAACCCCCAGTGTTTAGGAAATTTGCCTTAAGTATCCTCATGAATGATGAAGCCTATGCTGTCTTGTCCCAGTCACCAAGAGAGTTCATGGAACATGGTGCCCTGTTTTTGACCATACTTTGTGTCTCATTAACAGATTTTCTGGATTTTCTGACCTTCTAAGTTCTTCTTCTCATTAGAATATGTGGTTTCCATGCTGCAGTTCAGAAATTTGCATTGTCCCCATCTGCTAGCTTTAAGTGAAATGCAATCCTAATGAAGAACTGCATTTTGCCGTCAGAGGTACAGCATTCTAGTCTTCAAATGAAATCCTTTATACATCCCCAATTTTACCCAAAGACTGACTTCCTTCACCTGTTGGGAATCCCTTCTGGGTGTGCATGGGATTAGGTTTGTTGTTTCTGTTTGAGACAGGGTCTCTCCATGTAGTTCTGGCTGCCTGAGAGCTTGATGTGTAGACCAGGCTGGCTTTGAACTCACAGAGATCCTCCTGCCTCTGCCCTTCAATAGCTGGGATTAAAGGCATGAGCTACCACTTCTTGTCTGGATTTGTTTTGCTTTATTTGTTTTTTTTTCTGTTTTTTTTTTTATAGCTGACCTGAAAGACTGCAGCATAAATGCTAGAAGTTCTACTCTTAATACCAACTTTAGTTCTTCCCTACTATGTTAGGGAGAGGCCAACTGCAGGAGTGAGCTGGGAGAGTATATTTTCCTGTGGCTATTGGCTCTATCAAAGTCAGGAATAAGCAGGTTCAAAAACATCTGTTGTTTCTGAACATCAAACACTACCTAGTTTCACTGTCAGCCAGAAACAGAGATAAACACAGAGCAGACACATAAATGACCCTGAACGAGACATCCTGATTGCCCCTGCTGTTGGAAACTGGTATTTATTGGAAATAATAGTTCATTCATTCAGTGACTGATGAATCCCAAACTGCAGATGTAGCCCCCGAGGGTAGAGTCTGTGCCTATCAAGTGCAAATCCCTGGGTTCAGTCTCAGCACTATGTAAACAAGGCATGGTGGAGGCTAGAGACCAATAGGGTTAGAAGCTATTGTAGGCTTCTAACCCATGCCGATGAGACTCCTTAAAAATTAAAACAAAAATTAAAGAAGAGGAGAATAAAAATGCTTGCCTGGGAGCCCTTCCTGCTTAGAGCCTTGGGGAATTAGACTGTTATACACACACCCAAAAAGCAACTGAGACACTGGAAAAGCTATTTGAGGCCACTTGTGAGAAATTCTGTTGTGTTTCTTCTCCATACCAATTTAAATCACAGATATAATTGATTAAACTGACTATTAATTTAATAGAATGGAATATGTTTGTAAGCTAGACTCAAACAGTCTGCATTCTGTGTGTTGCATTCTTTGCCCAACAATCCTAATAAGCAGTTACACAAAAATGCCAAAGGATTTGGTCCAAGGGTCTTGGCTCTCTACAGCATTTGAAAAATAATATTCTACACTCTGGGTGTGAGTGAAAGAAATTTCCTCTGCTCAGTAGAGTGAAGCAATATAATATTCACTGCAGAGATGGCTGGAGCTTCTTGGTTCTTCTCCTTTTTTGTTCTTAGACCACTGTCCCTAACCATGTCTGTCACCTTTGCCTCCATTTCCTCATATAGTTGCTCTGCTTTGTTTATTTCATTTTGCTCAAATTTACTCAATGTATTTCCCTATGGCTTATTACCAGAGACACACCCCACATGATCTCTTTTGATCTTACCTTCCCAATCATTTGGATGCAATAATGCTGTTACCATCTTTATGTCTGGCCCATGCCCTTCCTCTCATTTTAGAACATCCCTACCTCTTTTTAACATGTCAAATTATACTCATCTTTCAAGAAACTGCTTGTAGTCTCGGCTTCT